CTTCATGCATCTCACGGCCTTAACTATACAAATGAAAATACATAGGTCTCATAACATTAATAAGGTAAAACAAAACCCATAATATTAAGGGGAGGAAATATTAAAGAACTAGTGCATAGTTATACTGCACCCTGGATATATCATCCCTTCCATGTGGCCCTTCTGTGAGGAACTGTCCAATTATTTTACAGATGGGCTTTCGGTCTCCACTTTATCTACGCTCCTTCACATCAATTTATTTGTTTGTTTTCTGATACCTATTCCCGTTGATGCCTCATGATCACACAGGCTGGTGTACTTCTTCTATGTGAGCTTTTTTCCTTCTCAGCTAGATCGCCGTTTGTTTAACTTCAAGCCTTTGACACCCCACTATATCTTTTAGTAGCCAGGCACCATCAGATTTCTTTACCACATTTGTTTTTGCACCTATTTTGTCTTCAGCGATCATGTTGGAAAGGTATCATACATTATTAGAACAAACTATTCTTGTACTGAAGAAAGATTTAAGGAGAGGCCCAAAGTCTATCTGCTTCCTTGCTGTTTTTACATATGTACATATATATACATAGACAAATACACCCATCTTTGTAATTTATATACATAATTTTACATTTCTACCTATATATATGTTAAATGTTAATTTTTTATTCTTTCCTCTTTTTGTTCCTTTCCTCCTGCCCCACTATCATGTTTACTCAGTAATTCCACTCAGACACATTTCAATAGATCAGACATGACCAGCAACACTACTCCCTCCTCACCATCAATTTTAGATCCCTTGCTATTCCCCTATCCCTGTAATCATTTGCTCATTGCTCCCCTCCCCCCTGTCTCCTCCTCTCCAATGTCCCCCTGGAACCGTCACTGCTTCCTTGGGATTGCTTATATATGCCTATTTTATATAGATAGACACCAAGAGAAAAAAAGTATATATAGAGAGACCATACAAATAGTTCCAAGTCTAACTGTCGTCCTGACTGAGAATAGATGAGGATCCCCCTGTTAAACAGCAAGCAGGCCCTGTTATAATCCATGTATCCAATCCTCTTTTCTTTTAAAAGTAGTAAAAAGGTATAATCCATGGTTCCCGGAGGAAGGAACTTTTGATCTAGAGACCTGGGAGGAGGTCATTATTAACTTAAAGAAAGCACACAGAGATGGGGAGAGTATCCCCATGGAGATGTGGTTTCTGTGGGTTCAAGTTAAGATGGTCTTAGTACTTTTTCAGGAGGAAAAGAGTGAGAATTATCAGTCTAGTGGGAAGTCTTGTGTGAGCTATTCAAATTTAGAAAAGGAAGCTAAAGTATGTGTGACTGAGCATGATTTAGGTGATGAAACTTTAGGAAAAACTGAAGCAGGAATTGATTTGTTATGTGAGGCCTCTGATTCTAAAAGAAACCTCAAGGCCATAGCCTATATGTCCTCGGGGGACTGGAGCCTCCAAAGATTTAAGGGTGATAAAGTACTAGGGGCAATGGATTCCAAGACCCAAAGCCAGGCTATTAAACAATCCCAAGAAGCTCCCTTGCTTTCAATGGTAGGGAAAGCAGAGAAACAATACCAGCAAAGTAGTGAGAAGCTCCTGAGCTACGCAAACTTAAATCAGGTGAGAAGCAGGCAGAATGAGTTTCAGGCAGATGAGAAGATTTTAGGTGTAGCTGAGAAGGTGAAGTTTGAATCAGGAGTGGAACCATCTGCCCCACCAAAATATAGCACAGAGAATCACAATACTATCAAGCAAGCCAGTGCTGGAGGAGAGGAGGTTAGATCCAAAGAAGCGCAATAGAGAGATTTAAACTAGAAAGTGAGGCTCAGAAAGTGAGAAGCAAAGAGTTAGGGAACAGAAAAGCACCTTTGCTCTCACGGGTGGAGAAGAGTATAGCTCAAGAAGCAGATTTAGAATTCAGAATAGCGTATCCCGTTAGGATTATAGACAGGGAGCCTGACAAGCAGCACCCAGAAGGGAATCAAGAAAGGTGTTATACTGCCTTTCCCTTTAAGTTGCTAAAATATCTCAAGCAGGCAGTCAATGATTATGGCCCAGACTCACATTTTGTAATTAGCATGATAAAGGCTCTATCAGGGTCCGAGAGCTGGACCCCTATTGACTGGAGAGCTTTAGCAAAAATATGTCTTTACTCTTCAGAATATCTGCAATATCAAATGTTGTGGAAGGAAGCTGCCTTCTCACGAGCGCTCAAGAATGCTGAGGATGGGATAGATATAGGAATTCATCAATTTCTAGGGGATGAGAATTATATTACGGTTGAGTCTCAAATGCAGTTTAATGAACAGACAATAGGACAGATACGTGAAGTTTGCCTAAGGGCCTGGGGAAAGATATTTCCATCAGGAGAGAGAAAGCCGAGTTACATGGCTATAAGACACCGGAATGATGAATCCTATGCTGACTTTGTGTCCCGACTGGAAGATGCTATTTCCAAGTGTGTAAAGAATGTCCAGACAGTAAGAGACCTAGTGCATAAGCTATCTTATGATTTTGCTAATAAGCACTGTTAAAATGCCTTGAGGCCCTACAGGGAGCAGAGCACGCTGTTAGATTATCTCAGGATATGTAGGAATATGGAGACAGAGGAATACAAGGCCAACCTCATGGCAGCTGCATTGGCAAATTATATCAGACCTGGAAGAAAGTGCTTTAGTTG